CGAACGCGATACTGGGGTCCCGCTATCTTCGGCGCTCTCCTCTTCCTCCTCGTCTCCATCATCGGAGTCTCCAGAGCCGCCAGAGTCACCGGCATCACCAGAGCCACTACCATCGCCAGAATTGCTCCCATCACCTTCCTCTTCCTCGTCGCCGTCGTCTCCATCTTCTCCGTCTTCAGCCTCATTGCGATCATCTTGCTCTTCTTCGTCCGAGTCGGACCCGTCCTCATCCCCGCCCGAGTTTTCGTCATCATCGTTGTCATCTTCCGAGTTCGTCGAGTCGGCCTTTTCAGCCTTGCCAGCTTTCCCGCCCTTCTTGGGTTTCTCTGCCTTCGCCGGCTTCCCGGACTTCTTTGGCTTTTCAGGCTCTTCGACCTTCTCAGCTTTCTCGGCTTTAGCCTTGCCGGCAGCCCTCTTCTGACTCCTGGCCACCCGCGCCGATTTTGGAGGCGGCGACGCAGTGTCTGTGCCAGCATCTTCGGTATCCTCGACGGTGCTGGCGCGAGTCTTGGTCACTGTGGAGGCGCGCTTTCGCCGCCTGGTGTTTCCGCCAGCGTTGCTACCGCCGGGAGAGGGCGGTGGTGGTGTAAGCTCGAATTCGGGTGGTGAGGTTGGAGGTTCACTAGCATCGGCAAGGCGACGCTCCATCATCATATCGTCAAACTCGTCGTATGGAAGAGTGAACTCCTTGAATCGGTCGTCATAGTTGTCATCTTCTTGGGCGTCGTAGAAGTCTTCTCGCTGGTCGATCGTCTTAAGGTCGTACAAGGTGCGTAGCTTCGTCCAGATATGGGGGATACGTGTGTGGGTGTAAAAGTCGGGGTCAATTCCGTGATTCCGCAAGTGCTCGCTGATAGCAATCATCCTGAAGTGTTTGTGCATGCCTACGATTTGACTGTCAGATTCAATTGGGATTGCTAGTACCGATGAACTGACCTGCTGGTTTCCACCGGATAACTCCTTTGTAAAGAGATGAGAGTTGGTCGTCGGTCCACAGATTGTTTGGCCACTCATCCGCAGAAGGCTTGATCGGAGGCGCGCTCGCCACGGGAGTATCTGCAGCAGGTGTATCGACATCCATGGCATCTTCATCGCGAGCTGGCGTTGGCGTTGCGACAGCAGACACACTGCTGCGCACCTTCTTTTTGGGAGGCATGGCAGCGAGGGCCAGCGGCGTGGATTTACAGAGAATGCTCTTCCTGTATTCTGGCGCGTGTATATGTGGTGCTCGATGATGATATGGAGGAAGTAAGGCTGTCGTTCAGATGCTTCGGTACATTGTTGAAAAAAGAAGCTTCGGAGGATGAGAGCTCTAGCGGGTTGAGGCATTGAGAGCTCTCGATTGGTTCCACCTGCTTTCCCGCGTCGCAGGGTAGGTACCTTTTGAGTCTTAGGCTCTTCAGCCGCCAGGAGCCAAACCTGCGGGGATGATCGGAATCGGGCAGAGACATGCAGGGGTCGTGCTCAGCAGGTTGTGCTTGAATGTGACGCGCCAGATCGCGTCGCGGGGCCCCTAGCTGCTCATTTAGCTTTATCCCTAAACGTGCCTGGGAGAAACGTCATATCGAACCTGAATCCTCAGAGATGCAATGTCACTGATTGCAGGCTTTGCGCCCCATATCCGTCTACGCCAATGTTCCACATCGCAATATCACCGTCGGCACAACCATGTTCGAGGAAGATGACCTTTCAAACGTCTTCGCGATTCCAGACTTCCGGAAGCCGTCCAAATTGCTAAATGACCAATTGCCAAGGGCCGACACTGGCTTCTTTGCTCTCGACCTGACAGGTAGAGCCTCTCGAACCCAAGATGATCTTAGTCGTCATACTGACCTACTTCATGTTCAGCCCCAGAGTTGCCTTCTTCATGCAGTCCTCCCGATCCTCAGCCCAGCGAACTCTTCACACTCCCTGCCATAGACCCTGCACCGCAGCAGGAGGAGTCGAACACGGACCAGATCCCCGATTTTGAGTTTGAAGAGCCCACAGCAGAGGAAGAGGCAGAAGTGGCCGACTTCTGGTTGGAATTTGACGAGCCCGCCGCGAAGCTACCAGACTACAAGACTTGGGAAGGCTTCCAATCTCCCGACATTCCCTCGAAAAAGCCGTTGTTCATAACTGAGGCTGGGCCTGGGGCATTTGATGCCTTGATTGGGCTTCAAGAGGATCCTCTACGTATTGGAAGTGCTGACTTCACCGTGGTGGAAGCTGGGACATATTGCAATGCGCTTCTAGCTTTGGCTCTGGGAAGAGACTCAGTGTTCTTCTCCTGGCAAGACGAGCATGAAGCCTTCAAGCCAGCCTTACCCCAGATCAGGATACCAGCATATTCGGGTAAGGCTGTCCAGGAAGTTCAGCGTTCGTGTCTTAAGTGTGGCAATACATATCGTCAACTTCGCAAGTTTGTCGACAGCACGTATTTGAAGAACCCGACTCCATGCCGCGTTGCTTTGGCGAGCGCTGTGGACAAGGCCCTGTTGGTTATCCAAAGCAGTGTCGCCTTGCATCACCAACACCCACGGTCGATTCTCCAAGTTCAATCGCTCGTCGCGCACATATACACTACTTTGCGCCAGTTTGAGTCCTTGGTGTCAAAGATACGACGAGATCATCTAGATGAAGATGTTTTCGTCATTGTATTCCAGCAGGCTCAATCTGCTGAGTACGCCGAGACCCATCTCAGAGATATGATGCGAGAAGTCCTCCGGCGAGTATCAAAACCCTGGATTGAGCTTGTCGAAGAGTGGATCGGCACACGGCGTGAATTCGGCGTGCCTCTGAGCAAACACGAAGTTGGAAGACAAAAGGGCTTCATCAAGGTGGAATCCGAAACCTATATGGACGATTTCGGCGACGAGGTCGACGAGGTCGATTTCCGTCTTGATATTGAGCGAATACCTAGCTTTATGCCGGAAGATGTTGTCAAATCTCTATTCGAGGTTGGACGAAATCTTCGTTTCATAAGGTCAAATCATCCCGGACACCCTTTGTCACAAGAGAGCACTATCTCTTCAAGTCGACCCCCGACAGTTGAGTGGCTTTTTGATTGGGACTCGGTCGTGCAGTTGGAGGATAGGATCCGATCATATGAAAGTGCGGTTCTTGAAGCCATCAAGAACTTTTCTCTGCAGGGATCAGTCGAAACAGCGGCACCAGCTTGGCCGATTGGAAACTCAGCGACCTATCAATTGCAGCTGTTTGGTCTAGACGAGAATCAGCTACAAAGCATATTGGCTTTATCTATTCAGGACTTCGCTAAACCGATTGCCGACTCGACGTCCGAAGACCTGCTAGGCATCATCATTAGGGATCGCTTGTCTGATGTTACGACCGAGATCGCCAGTGCAGGCACTGATTTTACACCGCATTGGTCACTGCTTCCGATCCTCTCCTTCGGGTCCATCATATCTGCGCAATCTAGAGTCGTGGGCAGGGAAAGTCTGAAACTGCTCTTCACATCCCACAACTTGCGCGAGCATCTGAAGCTTCAGAAAGAGTTCCACTTGTTGGGTAACGGATTCTTCTGCAGCCGCCTCTCCCATGCCCTATTCGACCCAGATCTCGAGACGGCAGAGAGACAGTCTGGTGTTGCTCACCAAGGCGGAGTCATGGGATTACGATTAAGCGGTAGGGACACTTGGCCACCCGCCAGTTCTGAACTACGCTTGGCCCTGATGGGAATATTAACGGAAAGTTATGAGGGATCGCTGCACGAAGATTCAAGACCTCGAGATGGCGAAAAGAACGAACTCCCCGGGGATCTTAGTTTCGGAGTCCGGAGTCTCTCAAATGAGGAAATCGACAAATGCATGGATCCTACGGGACTAGAGGCCTTGGACTTTCTCCGGCTATCCTATAAGTCACCTGCAGCTTTAGGGGCTATTATCGCCCCCGTTATTCTGGTGCAGTATGACCGAATTTTCAAACTGCTACTTCGGGTGCTGCGGATGCAATATACTGTCAATCGTATCTTCCGCGATGTCACGGCTAGGGAGTCGGGCTGGCAGGATGTGGATGACGTATCTATTCGCTTCTGCTTCGAAGCTCGTCACTTTGTATCCAGCCTCAGTTCCTACATCTTCGATATTGGCATCGGAATGCCGTGGCAGGCATTCGAGAAACTACTGAGCCAAATTGAGATGGATCTCAGGGCCGAAGACCAGAGCACAGTCTCTACCTCAGTCCTTAGCCCTGATCGCCTGAGGGAACACCATTCTCAAGTGCTTGATCGAATCATGCTTGCACTACTCTTGCGCAAGCGGCAACAGCCTGTGCTCAAGCTTCTCGACGACATTTTCCGGGTCGTGTTGAAGTTCGCCCAATACTCGAGACTCCAAAACGAAGGGCGGAAATCTCGTGGTCAAGGTGACGCTACCGCCAAGGGCCTATACAAGATGTTTAAGCGGAATGTCGAGGTTTTCTTGGCGGTTTGCAAGGGCCTGAGTGAAAAAGGAGATTACGGAACGAAGGATACAGCTGGAGAGAAGCTGTCCTCAGGAAGAGTTGACGCACTAGAGGGAAACCCCATAGCTCAGCTTGTACTGAAGCTAGACATGTCTGGCTACTACTCTAAGGCATGATCGTTTGATGAGGAACGGTTGGACTATTGATGAACAGATAAGATACCCCAGGCGTTAGATCAATAATTAGCCACCATGTTGGAGTTCCATCATTTTCGCTTACAGTATCTATTATATCACCCTGTAACAATGATCCAAATAAGGGAACCGGTGCATTGAGATCTGATAGCAAAGACTTGGGATGACAAGCGGCCCCGAAGCGGAACATGGACGGGACAGGAGGCTAAGGTAGCCTGCCCCGCCAAAGTGATGCCCCGGCTCCGAACCCCCTGGCAGTGCCCCGCATCGCGTATCCCACCTGCCCGCGTTTGTTGATTTACTTCCCTCCTTTGGACGAAAGAAATCGTGCACTTGAACAAAACAAACTGAGCTCTCTTATTGCGACCCTCAAGCTCAACAATCGCCGAACAAGCTAGCACCATGGCTCGTCCCGGCCCCTCCGCACGGAATCTCACTCTCACAGAAGAGTTGGAGAAGTTAGAGCAGTCTATCACCTTGACTCTCCAGGGTAAGTACACCGCATCGAAGAGAACTTGGCCTATCCATTTCAATTCGGCTAACCGTTCCCTAAGAAATCGACCACAACTTTAGCAAGGCGCACCGTATCGTAACCACGAATATCTTGCCCATTGTAGAGCAATATGGCGAGCATTCGCGAAACGTTTGGGATGCTTCGAAGGTGTGTTGCGCTTATTTCTGTGACATTCTCATACTTTGGCACTCCAGCATCGCTAATACACAGCGAACCTGCAGTTCTGGAAACAATTCTTCGAGGCCTCGGCCAACGTTTCCCTCTCCGGTTACGAAGAGAACGCCAACAATGGCAATGATGAAACCGGCGCAACTGAAGAGGAGTCGACCGTTCAAGAAGATACATCCGTCGACTATACCCGCACACCCCAACAACAACGCACCGAAGGCGAAGACATGACCATAGTTTCGACCGCCGACTCTACTTTCCGTGCAGACGATTCCGTACTCGATGACAATGACCTCACTGGCAGCACACCCCGGCCACCTAAAACAAAGACGATGAAGCCGCAGTTCTCAAACCTCGAATCCCCCTACGAGACACTCAAGCGCGAGCTGAAAGGCGAGCCACCTGCACCGCACGAGGAGGACGACGAGAACGAGGATCTTGGGCTCGAGGAGGACTCAACTGTCCTCTTTGCGCAGCACACGGCCCGTCTTCCAGACATGTCCATGACACCACGCTCCTCGTTCGCGCCGCCGCAACAGCAGCAGAGCCACAAGGACCCTCTCATGCACCGCATGCTTGATAAGACGTTCCGCATCCAGGCTACGCCGCACAAGGGTCCCACTTACCGCGTCTCGCCGCTGAAGCGCGATGACAAGAACAAGGAGAAGGAAAACGTACCTGCATGGCAGCAGGACTCGCCCATGTCCTCGCCGGTCATGGCCGTTCCAAAGCTACGCAGCGAGGCCTTCATGTCTCCTATCAAGAGCAATGCCCGACAGCGTCTTGCTGCCGCGACTGCATCTGCGGGACCGCGAACCCCGGGCGTGAGCGTGCAAACACCAGGTGGTGCGAGGAAGACCAAGGACGTGTTTGCTACCAAAGGCAACTACGATGACGATACGACTACGGATCTCGGTGCCAAGTTTGATAAGCAAAGGTACGAGATCGACTGGGAAAGCGATAGTGACGAGGACCATGGGCTGTATGGCGGTATGAGTCCGCCCAAGACCATCCAGTTTGCGCTTCCGCCGTCGAAACTGCTTCAGACCCCTGGTGAGTGGCTTTTTGTTAAATCAGAACAAGCTCTGCAGTGATCGATCCGTTTACTGACAAAATTTACTAGCTCGCGAGGCCAGCAAGCGCATTGTGGACGATATTCTACTTACGGCTGGCGCCGAGCCGGAAAGCTCAGAGTATAGTCCTACGATGGTCAAGATGAACGAGGACATTCTCAATGAAAGCTTTTGATCCTATTTGAGAATATATAAGGCTACCTTACTAATAGACAAGATACCCTGAGTAACATTTATGGAACTCTTTGATTCTGATCCTTTCCGAGGATATTTGCTCCCATCAATCTAAGCATAAACCGGTATAATACGTGTTGCTTCGGACATTTGCCATGTTGTAGACGTCGAAGAACGTAAGAAATATTTTAACCCAGAAGGACCCCATCTGAATGGCTTATTCCAGCGCGGCCGTCTAAAATGTAAGAAACCAACTCCCAAAACTCCTGTAAGTCCCATCATACAAGCATGGCGGCGGCACCATTTCCTTCTCCCGCCGCCGCATTCCATTTCAGTATTTTCTCATGTTTCCGTATATTCAATGGTTCTGCTCTTGCCAAGACGGCTCTTTTACAAGTCGGTGCGGATAGAGGAGGGCCAGTATGCAGCCTGCGAGTACATGATTTGCGTATTCGCGTCCTCGGCGGCCCGTTGGCGGGCAATCAGGGATGAAGACTTTTTAGATGATGATGATGATGATGATCTTGCCGAGCCGGCGGAGTGCTTGTTCAGTTTGCTCTTGAGGAGGGACATGGAGCTGCCGAAGCTTGACATTGAGGCGGCGTCTGCCTCCTTTTGATAGGGGGATGAGGAGGAGGCGGAAGAAGAAGAAGAGGCCTTTGAACCTTCTTGTATCGCGGAGAGGAGAGCGTAGCTGTGGCGGGTGTCGCCGGTAATGGAGCTGGAGAAGGTGGAGTGCATTCCGGACATGGCTGCTTTGATTGTTTGGGTTTGTGATGGTTCGGAGGAGGGTTTAATGGTGGGTGGTTTTGTTCGGATAAAGCCTCGGAATAGAATAGGTGATCTTGGTATCAAGATGGGGGAAGTAGTGTTCGATTGTCTGATTGATTCTGAATTGTTTTGATGTTGATGAGGATGATCCAGAAAGACAAACCTGAGGATGAAGATGGAAAGGTCTCTTACTTATACCAAGTCGATCCCATAGTTTTGGAATTCAAGGCCTGAGAGTACGGTACTTTCCATGACTTACACACTTTGGGACTATGGACTTGAGATGTGGGTACGCATCTTGCTGGAAACCAGGTACCATAGCCCCCCAGCTGCGCGTCTCGACACGGCGTCATCGGTAGTCGTAGTCGTGCAGCTCGGAGGTGTGGAGCAAAGGGGAATCCGCAGGAAAGGGAGTCACGCGTGACCGCCCGCAAGTCTGCCGGCCGGTATCCGTAAGGTAAACGGTTCCCAGAGCAGCGGGTAAGCCTACACTACGAACAGAACGAACATCCGGAGCGGCACTTACGAACAGGGAGGGGGGGGGGGAACTAGAATAGGACGAATAGACGTTGTTCGGTAAGATAGAAACAGCCGTGTGAGTCATTACGCCCATGCGTCCTATTGTGCCTCATGCGCCTCGATGCAAGCTTGCCAGCCTCATTAGAGTCACGTATGCGAATCTTGGGACTCTGTGATACCGAAGGGTGCGTATGCTCCATGTAAGCCATACAAGGCGGAAGTGTAGGTTAGATCCTTGGAGGTGATCGTCTTGGGAGCCAACAGGGGGATGGGGCCGGGGATAAGGTAAGCGCCCCGGGGTGAAGATGCACCGGATGATGTGTACTTTCATAGAGATAGGGTTTGATGGGAGAAATGGCTTACGTCCGTTCGTAGAATTTCCGAGTAGACTATCTTACCTCCGGTACGAGTTTGCTGACAGACACGTCTGCCTGACGAGAAGCCCCATCAGCGGCAGCAAGCCCCCCAGCAAACTCAGAGCACCCAGGCCTACTCTGCCTAGATTCGCGTAACATTTCTTAGGCTTCAGCTGCATATCTACGGCAACGAAAATGTATCAAGTGTCAAGTGTGTATGTTTCTTTCCAAAGCTTGTGGTTGGTTCATCGCGAATGCCATGTGCGGCGTCATGGGAGTGTCAGTCGGAGTAAGATGCGGCCGACTTGGACTCGGAAGTGCCTACTGCACCGTAGCCCTCCCGCGATGTTTGGCCTCGTTTGAAACCATGCCAAGAATGCGGTGAAAAGATTCCTCAATTGTCTACTCAGTCACCCAATGGTTTGCGCCGAAATTTTCTTCACTGCAAAAGTTTCCTCCTCTGGCCTGCGTACGTAGCCGCACTTACACGGCCTTGATCTTGGTGTACGGGTCGCAATCTTGCATCCCGCTCATATCCGAGCTGACTCACTCCGAGTCACCTACCCCACCCGCCTTGCATTTCAGCAAACGGTGTCTATACCTCTTTCTCCCTCTTTCGCTGCTCGAGGTGGTGTCGTCAGGCGTGGTGGGGCCGGGTGACGAACGCTCGCTTCACAGACAGATCGGGGCCGGTGCCGAATCGCCCATGGGCAACAACGAGACATTGTTCATTTTCTCTCTTCTTCTCGAAGCGTCTCGAAGAAGCTTGCTGATGGCTTCAAGAGTCTTGCCGGGCTCCGGGCTCCTATCATTGGAAGTGTTCACTCATCACACTGATCCCAATCGGAAGAGATGATCCGGCTGTATAACCGCAGCGGGAAAAGATCAGACGACATTTGTTAGTGAATCGGGCGTTGATCGTCCAAAGACCCGGGCTTTGCAATGATGAAAACTTTCGACACCGGGCGCCGAAGAAACTTTGTTATTCGGCTAAAAACAAGCTTAATTATAATGGGGGGATGTTGCTTCGTCTACCCATACCGTAACGTGACTACGCAATATCGTTGTTCTGTTCGTTGTACTTGCGGTCAAACCGTCAGCATCCCTGACTCTGATGGGGGCCGCGTGGCTGGTTAGGTGCAGCGTAGTCTGTACATCCAATGCGACGCGCAATTTGTTGGTGAACTTGATTAACTTGGCTATGTTAACAGGTCATCTAATCAAACTCTGTTTGCCAGAGTTTGAAATCCAGTCTACTGCATCTGCTTCTCACCCGATCTATTCATCAGCTCTTCAACCTCTTCAGTTATAACATCATTATTCCCGGCTTTGCAATATCTTGCTTCATTGACCGCTCCGCATGAGACTTCACGTACATCATGGGACTCAGACACGACAGTTTTTCTCGTTTCTGGGCGATGGAAGTAGGATTCGGAGCACGAGGCGTTGCAAAACTCATATCGACGTGATAGATAACATGAGGTATCTCAGTAAGGCTCCGCTCCCCTGCGAGGTGAGGCTATGTGTCTCCATCATCAGCACACGCAAAAGACGCAAAGAGGCTTCGGTGATAGTTTATGTTGAAGGGATGGGAGGAGATTCATTCACTCCAGACATCCCGCTTGCGATTGTAATTGATTAACCACGAGAGGCTCTGAAACGGGAGACGCTTGAACATCGATCCAGCAGGCAGAACCACCATGGCACGAAGACACTCGGACAAGCTGGAGTTGCGCTCTAATTACACCGGGTCTGAAGCCAGGGAAAGGTGTTTGTTGATGCTAAAACGCATCGAAATTGTAAGGCTCTGCTCATAGCTGTCGCCAGCTATCCCGTCCAGCTTGCAGGGCCATGAACTCGTCTTTAGCTTCGATGCCTTACTATGCATACGCCTGAACATTTTTGACAAATACGGCCGGTTAAAACCTCTTGAGGTTGGCCGTCCGCGATAGACGGACTGCGAATGCCTTTCTGGCCAGTCTCAACAAAGGGCTATGAGTATTTCCCGCGCTTGTGAACCCCGCTTTGAAGGAATATTTTTGACGATGGACTAAGAAGTCTGTCCTGATACGATTCAAGTTACCATGAGAAGATTGCCAAGTGAGATGCAGTCGGATACATGTGGCGGACATGTTATGGCTTGCAAGATGACCCGAATCCTGAGTTTCGCAGCCGCGTAGAGCTCAAATATGTCAAACTTGAGCTCTCTCACTCAGTCAAAAATACCGAGCATGAGACTCAGGGTTCGATCGGCGGCAACCTATTATACCTCGGAATGGTCTAAATCCAAACATGCTGTTGTAAGAGCCCTGAATTCGGTGTTTGGTGTGTCAAAGCCTGAAGTACTACACTACAGAAGTGTCCACACTAACAAGAAGAGGTTGAATGACTTTTGGACCAAGCAGAGCAGACCGAAAGTCACATAGGGAATAACTCTGTAGGAAATTCAAGCGTCGATGATAATTCTAGATGGACCAGACAGCTGAGAAAGTTGAGTTCCGTACCGACGGAAATGTGGTCTGTACCAGTCAGACGGCAGGCGCTCCACAAACCTTAATCAGCGCCTCACTTCTGGTGAGGTAAGAAAAGAAAAAGAAGAAGGGCGTCATGACGTTCTGCAAAACGGTCTAGAAGCTAGAGCGACGCTTGAGACGCCGCAGCAAAGGCGGTGGCCGGGCGCTGCGACGGCTCATCAGGCATTACCCCGCCATGTCTCAATCGGAGCTTGGATTTGGCTCTTATCAACGGGAATGATGGATATGATAAATGATGTGTGGAGGGGCAGTCTCGTATTCGTGTTATCACGTGACGCGATTGACGGTTGAGAGACGGAGGCCGAAAAGAGATCAGACGGTTTGATTGGCCGGGCCGCCCAGATCGCACAGGTCAGGGGTAGCTGCCGTTCCTGTTGGATTGGCCAATCGATGAGCTCCCGCTGCTGTCAGACGGGGGAGGGTCGCATTTGCACAACTCGTTGCTCAATGCTCCGAAATGAGAAACTGCCTGTTCATGTTGGTGGTGAGTGGAAGAGATTTACCTCTTCGGACGATTTGTGCATTCTCGTCTGCATGTTTTATGAAACGTCACTGGCCCCGTTCGGAAAGACAGTCCACCGAGAGTGCATTGGTGTAATTGTAGGTACGGAGTACTTTTTTACAATATTGAGTTGAGTGTGGTCAAGTCACCGACAGACGCCACAATTCCGTGGAGGGCAGAAGTAGACGCGTGTAGCCGGTACTTTGCTTGGCGCAATCCAGTTTGGCTGCGTTGCTGGCGTTGGTTTGCTCGGGTGGGTTAGGCAACACATGGTGATTTATTGTGACATTGACAGTTGCGTTGACCATGGGACTTGAGC